TCTTCGATCCAGGATCAAGCGCAAACAAGAAAAACGCCCACCAGTCTACGAGAAGACCCCTGACATCGTGGAAATGCTACGCAAAGTCACTGCCGTCAATCCGCCAGATTCGACGTCCACGCCCTCAGAACCCGCCAAAATGCCGCCGTACATCAGTTTGGATATGTACATCGCGTTTCGAGAAGAGTTCGCAAGTGGCTGGAACATCTGGCTAAGTGACGAACAAGTTACGAAGTTGGAGCCGGAACTGAAACAGGAGATGCCGTCAATGAGATTTGACGAGAAGGCAGCCATGTTTTTCCGACTTTCGGTGTGGACCAACAAGAAGCAAGACCCCGACGTTCAAAACGTCACTGAGATCCCCGATGGAGCGGAAGTGTACGTCGAACGAGTGACGGGGCTGGCCTTGTTCGAAAACAAAATGGCTCAAGGCAACACGAATCGCATCGCGATGGTCACAAAAGTCAAAGACACTGATTCCGATCTCGAGAACACCACTCCTCCCGAAGCTGAGAGTCAAAGCACGGAAGGCAACCAGACTGACGCCGACCGCCTTTCGCCTAAATTGCAAAAGAAGCGCAGAGCTGGGAAGACAAGTCGGGACGTCGTGGAGCCTGGCACAGGCGAGAAATGCCTTCTCGCACAACAGCCAAATAAGGCACGAGCACCAAAGAAGCCAAAAACGGAGTAAGCTCGCGGTTACGTCACCTGACTGGTAGGCACTGGCAATCTATCTGGACAAGGATTGCTGTACACCATATAATAAATATATGATGTCTTGTTGTCTCTTTAAACATCAGTAGGCCCGCGCACCGATACGAATCGGGCATGCAAAGTTTGTTAGCGCTCTTTATAGTCACAATGAATCGACGTTAACAAAATACCACGTACAGCATCGAGCTCGACGTTGTTTTATAGGTACAAATAGTATGAGGCCTTGGGCAGACGCCGTACAACATCCTGAGGTAAGTAAAGCAATAACGCAAACGGTTTGAACGTCGAGTAGCGTAGTATGTGTTCTTGGTGCTGGAGCAGCGCAAAACTGCTACCGAATTCACCGGTTGTATATCCAAAACCACCACCAGTGGCAGGTGCCCCAAAAGCCGACGAAGCAGCAGGCGCAGCACCAAAGGCACTGATTGTGGCCGGTGCGCCGAATCCTCCAGTGGCAGGGCGTGCTGCACTACTTCCAAACAGATCACCGCTTGTGGCGGGAGCACCAGGCTGCGATTCAAATCCACCAAAACCGCCAGTTGTTGTAGACGTCCTAGCTGAGCCAAAAGCGAACGATCCAAAGCCTCCTCCACTAGAGGTAGCACTGAATGCAGATGACTGAGTGACCTCCTGTCGCTCCAAAGGCTGAACTCGTTGCTGGTTGCGCTCCGAAGCCTCCGACCGCTCCAGTTTCAGTCGTCGTAGCTCCGGGTGCCCGAGCATTCTGCGTGGCTGCCGCCAGTGCTGCTGCTGGGTTCGTGCGCTTCAAGTAGTCTTCATACCGCTGCGATCCAAATAGACCGGGAGACAGACGCCGTATGTGTGAATGAGTGACGCTGTTGTTTGATATGTTATTATTGAATGTTGCTCAAGTGTTCTGTTGTGCGAATGTCGTTCTTCACCGACTGGGTCAACATTCAGCCATTGTAGCATAACGTTTTAGTAATTATTCAGTATTGCGTCATTATTGTACCTGATTTGTTGTTCGTAGTTGCAATCTATCACGTACAGAAGTACGTCCTTATGCGTTTTTATAGAATCCACGACGGTTCTGGAACCCACCTAAGACTCTGGATACAAATATCGAGAGAACTGTACAGTACAGTCGTTCCGCTCGTTATAGTTCGCGTCTCCTGTGGTGCTGTCTGACATCCGGAAGCAAACTAAAAATTCCTGAAGACTCAGGTGGTCATGGACACGACTTCACTGATAAAACTGAGAGAGGATTTGTGCGTTCTCACGTCTGTTTCTCGAACCTCAAAGTTTTATCCTGCATCAAGTACTTATGCAGGATTAGAAAATTAAATTTCTGCTCGACCAATGAAAGGTCTCATATTCAGCTTTTGTTTTGCTACGGGCATAACGAGTTCAGCGCTGCGTTGGCGTTCCTGGACGGGCTACAGCAATATAATAGCCTCGATGCAACTTAATACGACATTGCATGCCTCCCCGCACTCGAAGGCGACGAGTGGGTGGATTCCAGTGAGCTGTACGAAGACGAAGAAGCAGCTTAAGCAGCTCATAAACAAGTAAACAAGCGAAGGAGGAAAAAGGGGTTTAACCCTAACAAGGCTCGTGAAGTACTTCGTGCAGAAGTGAGAACTCTAAAACTCGAGGTAGAGGGGCTCGATTTTATTCGAAAGCGCCTTTTAACTATTCGAAACGAGCGGAAAGCCGGAAAGAGTTCAAGTCACAGTGCGAATGGAGCGTCTTTGTGGCAAGAGTCTTGCACTCGACAGCTTAATCGACGCTTGAGGACTAAACGGGAAAATATGTTGCTAAGAAGAAACTGTGACAAGGTGCTACGCGCCGTAAACAGCGTGAAAAACCTTCTCGGCTCACGGCCGGCGCTGTGGGATACGACGAGCCATGAGACTCGAATTCGAACCAGACGAATCGACATTCCTAACGGATACATGAACGACATGGTTACCCGGATCTTTGACCAACTTTCAGCTGGAGTAGAGGCGTCCTACCGTGACGTGCAACAAGGGAGCGACGTTAGTGTCTTAGATCTATCCTACGACGGTGTGAAGGGGAGACCCAAGGAGATTTTCGATTGTCGTACCCTACCCTTTGATATGACAGATATTAGTGACGCATGGTGGGAAGACTGGCACACGTATAGTGGTCGAGACGTGCAGGACAGTGCAGATGTGGTTGCAGAAAGCTTTGGGTTAGAGATCTGCGATGTGCCGGCTAAAATCTCCGCCACTTTCTACGCACAGCAAGTCTTACGTCGATACGTTGAAAAAGGTCGTGTCGTGTTCATCTGGAATGCGTACATTGAGCCCATTGCATACAAAGGCAAGCGGGTCCGTGGTGCCTATTATACCGAGAAGAGTAATGTGATCATCAGACCTGAAGACCCTGACCCAAACGAGACCCTAACGCAAATATCATCTCGGGAAGCCATCACGCCCCATTTTCTAGATCCAAAGTTAACTGCTGATTCCAAGATTTCCGCGCTGACAAGAATCCTCGTCAACTCGATGTCTCCGTACTACACGGCACGCACTAAAACGATCGAATCTACGCTACTGGACCGTATGCTCCAAGCGAGACGATGTGGGTAATACGACGTGGAATAAAATATATTAAAAAAGTTTTTATTGCAGCGAAGTCGTTGACTGATGGCGTGGGAGTAACCGCAGAGCTAATCGCGTTTTGGATGGTGACAGACTGCTGGTATCGGGAACTACGTCTTGATCGTGTACACAATACGCAAGACTCTGAGTGCAGAGCGTTTGCATCATGAAACGAGTGCTCTTCACGGTCTCGCTGACACTGACGCAGTCGCTTTGCAATAAAACGTCATCACCGACCGATAGTTGATGACGGATCCTACGTAGCACCTCGTCCCGATACGTTGTGTTGGTCAAGATCTCGTCTACTGGCAAGTCCAGCAGTTGGAGCCCGTTAAGACACTCGCCTTCCTGTTCATCAGCCGACACGTTTTCTTCGTTGCTCGCTTCGTTAGTAACATCATCTTGGTGGGGCTCAAACGTCAATGACTGCTGCGGTTTTGCTGTAGCTTGTAGGCTACGCCCATGCCCCCTTCGCTGCTCTAGAATCATTTCTCGCTTTCGAATGGCTTCAGACGCATCGTCAGCCTCTTGTCTCCTTGCTCGAGCTCGATACGCGCGCTTCACTTGGGCGACTGTTTTGGGCAATTTTTCATCCTGTTGCTGATCAGATCGCTCCTGAGTAGAGGGCGAAGAACTGCGCCATGTACTAGATTGTTCAAACTCATACGCCAGTGCTCCAGGTGGCGTATCAAACAGAGACCGCATACTACCAGCGCGTCCTATTCGATCGCTTCCACTTGATTCGTAACGAGGAGCATTAGATGGCGCTTGTATCGCATGCCACCCTTTGACTAGGCGCTTCTTCTCGTAGCGAGGCAATCGATGAACCGGAAGCTCATCTTCCATACTTAAATAATGGCCAGTTATTTAAAAAATATATGTTTTAAACTAAACTGAGATCTTCATGAAGCGACGTTCAACCCCCAAGCTCAGCACGGACAATTCTCGCCGACTAGGATCTTCAACACGTAGCAACATTCCAGTAAAAAAGACAACTAAGAAGCGTTTATCAAGAGATGCGACGTCGTCTGTCTTGGGCTTGAAGAAAACTGAATCACCTTGTGGCAGTGGTGAGAGCAAAGCGGTTGATCACATCGCAGAGTGTCAGCGTCTTCGTGAGCAACTGGAGAGCGTATTGGTAGATCACCAGAGACAAGAAGAAGAGATCGTTGCCTTGCGAGCGCTCGCGAAGTCTCTGACACAAGAGGTCGAAGTCATTCACGAGCGACAGCTTCGACAATCTACGTGTATCAGCGACAGAGTGGTACACAGAGAGGATCAGCACGAAAATTCCTTCAAGCTGAATGTGCAGGTGGAAGAGCTCCAGGGACAGAATGAAGAACTGCGCCGTCAACTGGAGTACTCCCAGAAGGAGCTCAAGTCGGCTCGTGATCGCATCGCAGAGAAGCTGCCAGTCTACAAACTCGCGGCGATCAAGGCAAATGCAGAGCTGCGTTGTGTGAAGAGCCAGCTGCAACAAGAACGAGATCACTCGGATCTTCTCCAGAAACAACTTGTGCGGTGTAAAGCTAGACAAGACGATGTTCCAGTACGGGTATCACTCGAGCGTGGCAACAACCAGAACGAACATGACGAAGATTCTCAAGAGAGTGAGGCTGCTCGACGTGAGCGAAAAGCTTTCCTTCGACAATGCAGTATTATGCAGGATACACCGGAACGAAAGCAGCTTAACAGAAATGGAGAATTAAAAAAATTGCATTAACGAAAGAAATTAACATTTAATCTTGCAGATATCTTAACTTTGAAAAAGTTTGTCGACTTCTGCTCTATACGGTACCTTCAGAGGTACTGAGTTGAGCGAGCTCTTCCTCCTCGTCAGACAGTAGCGACTGCGTCCCAGCAGCAGTTGAAGTGAATCCATACGAGCCGCCACCGGCAGCTCCCGTCTCGTAGATTTTCTTCTTACGGGAAATAAGCACACGGAATCGTTCCAGTCCTTGCTGCACCAACCTCTCACCTTCCGCGATAGAAGCAGCATGCGTCGAATCTCCTGGAATTATCTGTTCGTATTGTTCAATACCCAGACGACGCATGACTCGAGCGTATCCGTTGGTTAGTGTGAACACTGCCAGCGCGATCATTGCCAGTGGGGCGTACACTGCGAAGCCTCTTCCGAAGACATGGACGACACGAGTATTCGCTAGTAGAGTGTTGAACGCTGTCCCCTCTGCTAGCCCCCCACCTCGAAGTAGGAGCAGTGCGTTCTGTCCCAACGCAAATTGTAGTCTACACTGGTAAATTGACGTCTTCAGTAGACACAACTCCGTCGAGTTACCGTGTGCACGTAGCGAGTATTTCCCAGGTAATCGAAGAGTAAAGAGACTTGTGTAGCAACACACAGCCAAGTACACGAGTAGCAACGCTGATACGAGCTCCGTTGCACTACGTAGACTACTACTCGTCTCCTTAACCTCGACAGCGATCAAGAAGCGGAACAGAGATAGCGACGATCTACGCCAACCCATTGTCAGCTCACCCCATACTACACAGAGCGATAGAAATCCCGTAATGACAGCACAGGTGACAGCCACAGGAGACGTAGCCCACTGACGAACTTGGTGTCGTGTATCCAGAAACATGTTGTGCAAGCGGTTGAGTGTTGATGTCTCCGGGTACGAACTACTTGCTGGTAGCGCACGTTGGGAACAGCGGTCTTGTAGTACATCGACGTTGATACAGAGCTCCAAGAAGGCTTGGTCACATCGACGTAGCTCCAGTTGTGCGATACGCACACGTCGATGCAGCTTCACTGTTTCCGGAAGCGTCGGAGCTTTCCGAAAGGCTCGAGCGAGGTTACTGAGTCCACGTTTTAATTTACTAGGAACATCAGTAAATGACGCTGATTTGGCGCCTCGCTTCGTGTCAGCAGAGGCGTCTAGACTGGTGAAAGCGGGTTTGTTCGTCTCGATCAGAGCTACGACTTGAAGAAGACAAGTCTTGATGTACTGCATGTCGCTGGTAAGGATGATAGCGCCGCTCTCGGCCTGCATCATACGCTGATAAGCGTCGCGAACATCCGCGATTACATCGTCGTATTCAAACCTCGCTTCCATCCGTTCATCCTGCAATTGGCCTGCTTGAAAGTGCAGTATCTGAAGCTGTGCTCCATCCAGTCGTCGAACCCAGAATCCTCTTGGGATCTCCACGAGTCCGTACCCCAGTAGAGCGATGACCCATAGCAATCCGTAAGTGTTACTGGCTGCCATAGCGAGTCCCAGCACGCCATACAATGACAAATGATCCACTAAGATCAAGTACAATGCCACAATACACAGTCCACCGGCCAACACCGTCCAATGGAAGACCAGGTGTCTCATTGAGCTCAACACGCGTTTGTCCAATTCGAGCTCTCCGTTCTGGCGGAATTCCACCAGGAACGGCAGCCCTACCCAGCTCATAAGGAACGTAGTCCAGTACAGTAGTCTCCATACGAGCAGATACTCTCTAAACGTCGTTTTCTCCTCCGTGATGTTACCGACAGATTGGGAGCTCGTGACGAGGCCGTTGGTGGCCAGATCCATCGGCAGCAAGAGCAATCCCAGGAAGCCCAACACCCAAGTCGAGAACACGGCGGCGTGGACTACTGTGGGCACTTTGGCATCTTTGTAATGAGCTAGTAGCCACCACGTGAAGCCCAAAAGTCCACATACCGCTAGAAGTGTCGCTAGTAGAGCCATGCTGAGACTTGCCTGTCAAATCTCTGCGTCTCTTTAAAAAGGATCTTCCGATTAATTTAAGGGCTAAGATAACAAACCGGTAGGATAGCGGTTTCCAATACGGTATTGTACGGTATTCCGAATACAGCGTTTTCTATTGTACGGTATTCCGAATACAGCGTTTTCTATTGTACGGTATTCCGAATACAGTGTTTTCGGAATCCGCACGAGCTTCAAACTTGATGAACGGTTCGAGTGTCCGGCTGACTGGCAGTTGCCGGCTCCTGGGCGTAGCGCTCGTGGTGGACGACATCAGTAAGGGCTGCAACCTAGCCTTCCGATACCCTGCTCCACCCAGCGAGAGAGCGTCGAGCTTCCACTCCCTTCCAGCTCCTCTACTGGCCAAGCTCTTCCGGCCCAAGAACGCGCTCTGTAACGCCAGTTTCGAGCTTGTGGTGGATGATCTGCGCTTCGTGAGTCACCCGGTGCTAGTGTCGCGTCGACTACCAGCAGCAGCACCTGCGGATGGCCCTGGAGGGAGTTTTATAGCGCAGAACAGCTTAACATCGGCTACAGGAGCATCCCCTACAGCTGTAGAGCAGTCTACCAACAACTCTACGGGCGCCATGGGGAATGAGACAACCATGTTTAACATCATTTTTGCGCTAGAAGATCGTCCTCCACAAGTGTCTAGCACTCCTGACGCTACAGATGGCTCAGTTGACACACAAATGTTACCTTTGCAACAAGCAGACGAGGAGGAACTTTTAGCCAGAAGACGCAGCAGCGCTCAAGCTTTCCATACCGTAGCCGCACAGTTGGCGAACGGACTGTTACACGAGGAACTTCGCGTGGGTTTTGTGTCGAAAGAAGTGCGAGAATTGTTACAGTTAAGAGACGAATTGGCTCAAAGTGAGCGGAATGCAGGTAGTAACAATGCAGGTGTTACCAGTGGTAACAGTCTAAGCGCCGCGGTGGCCGCAGGAGCGACTAGTGGCAGTAGTCTTACGAGTAATACGGGAGCTAATACTGCATCAAGTGGGTCGAGTCTGATGCACCTGCATCACCACAGGAAGGACGGGGAAAACGGATCGTCGACGGTGGAGGTGGATCCCCAAACTCTAATCGACGTTTCGTTAGGGAAGTGTGTGCTAGCCAATGACCTCAAGCGAGTATTCCATGGTCTAGAAGAGTCGGGAGCTGCACATGTGGTGCTTAACGGGTGGGTGAAATTGTCGCTAACTCTAACGGATGCTGTAACGGTGAAGATGGCGAGTTTACGACCGTATCACACGCTTCTGCTATTGGCTGATAAAGACGAAATCCTCAACAAACTCCCAGTTGATCATGCGCGACAACTGCGCGATCTGGTGGAGAGTGTAAACCCTCTAAAGAGCTTCCAGGATATTGCATTAGAGACGGGAGTTCCGATTCATCAGGTCTTTCGACTGGCTGCACATCTCGTTTACTGGGGCTTCGGTCGTATTGTGGATGCCATCACTTTGTACAATATTTATCAAGTCAATGCCAAGGCAGATCTGCACATCACGTCGCCTCTGGCGTTGGAATTCAGACGCAAATTCGCTCCGTACGAGCTAGGCGAAGTCTTGTCGACGTTTTCGGGCTCTCGACGTATTGGAGAGTACATGAAGACCTTGTCGACTGCGAAGAAGACTGAGTACGTCCACATGCTCATCTGGCTACTGCAACAACGATTTATTGTACAGCTCCACCGCTTCATATACTTTATGATCCCGTCCGACGGAGACTACGCAGCTGAGCTCGGTAACGGCGCGTCATCGGTTGGTAGCTCCTCTCCTGCGTTACTGGTGTCAAGTTTCCGTCGACAACGAGTCAATAGTAGCGCAACAAACACCAGTGCGCCGGGTAGTTTGCCTATAGCTCAGATCCCGCCTATGAACCCAGCAGACATGGCGCCGTCCCCTGTGCCAGCACTGCTGGATGATAATCCTGCTACCGACGCACGTGGGGGTAGTACAGTACCAATGGCTCAAGTGATGAGTGTGGCGACCCAATTGTTGTTTACAGACCAGGAGCGTGCGTATTTGGCCAAAATTGCCAAGCCCAACTCAGTGTTTACGCTGTTTAAGAGACTATGCGTCTATTTCCATGGAGAACACCACATCGAAGAGATTATGTGGCGGGAGAACCTTTCACGTGGCGAACTGCGCACTGTCATGAGCACGTATCAGGATATCATTGTATGCTGTCTTCACGAGTGAATTTGAAACGAAAAGAGTGTTGAAAGTGTCGAGTACAGCTACTACGTTGCTAGCGAAGCCAATGACATTGACAAAGTCATGTGAAGCTTGCATTGAACTATCTTATGGCCAGAGATGATTCCTGCTAGCAAAATAGTCCCAAGCTACGTTAATAACATTGACAAACAAATAAAGACTTCGCAATAATATGCCCCACTTGCATTACTCCTTCAGCGGATTATCGCCACATCTACGTGTACTTTGATGGATAAGCCTTAGCGATGGTGAAGTAGTTGGTTGAGTACAACGTGTGGAGGTCTTTGTACTTTTCCCAGTATCCAATCTTCTCTAGTTTTGTTTGAAGAGTGCTGGGGGTGAACCCTTTGCGTTTCCATCTCGCAAACCTCTTGAACGTTTTAATGAGAGTTCAACATTTGCTCGAGCTTCCAATCCGCGAAAAGTCGGTCCCCTACTTTTCTCTCTTCACCGTTTCCGAATTCGTCTTCTTCACTGTCTTCTTCCGCTTGGTTGTGGCTCCGCAGAAAACGCTTTTGAGTATCGGACGCGAGCAGAACTGGCGATTCCAGGGTAGAGATGGTAGCTTGGTTGCCGGTCGTGGTGGCAGATATGGCAGGCATCGCACTTCCGTTGCCGAGGAGAGTAACAATCAGAGGGAAAAAAGCCTTGCGCATAGTGCTGGAGTAATTAGACTTTAGTGGAGGAGGGTGAGTTGAAAAGTGAGAGCACGGATCTAGGCAAAGTCGTCCCCTTTGCAATCGGCAAACCCAATTCAAAGCTTACTTCGAAGTATATTTTTATAAGCGCAGTTGTATGACCACAGCAGAAAATGTCCCATTTATGGAGCGAACATATCTATTGAGTGAGGGTTTTACCATTTTAATCCTTCACCCTTAGATGGCGTGCACTGTGACAGCGTCCCCCTTGCCTTACGTGCTGCTGACGCGGCTGATTATGCAGTATTGTTGTTGACGCTGCTTGATCTTTCCGTGTCGCACATTCGCTGCTGCTGTCGGCCCAGTTGTCGGGGTTGGTCGCCGTTGTGTCCACGTTGTCGTCTGGCACAATCTCCACATCTTTAAATCTCTTGCTTTGAACAGAGTTCGTAAAACACCATTCACCTGCTGAAAAATTGGCCTCCCGAATGTGCAGCACAGGCGACGACTTTAGCATAGACTAGTCGTTGATCCAGTAGTATTTTACAGTATTAGTACAGTACTGTAGTAGTCTGTGCTTCACTAGATAAAAATACCAATACATCTTTTCAGACTAACTTAACCAATTACATATGTCCAAACGAGAGTTCTAGTTTATTTGGAGCGGGCACAATTTCAAACAGCTTGTGCTACCTATCCGATGCATTAAATAGTAGAAGGACGCTTCTTGGACACTTTGCGTTAGCCACGTTCAGTCTGCCACTGTCACGATTCGAGAGACTAAAGTAGGGAGGTCATCCCTCCTCGTGTAACCCCTAACTTTTAATACAACCGAGCGCTTAGTTATCAAAATAATAAATGACGTTACATAAACGTTACGAAGAAGGACTTCAGGTCGTAATTGACAAGACCCCGTACGCTTTTAGAGCCACTTTCTATAGTACAATTACGCGCTCGTAATCTGTCATAATCCGCGAGACCTGCTCCTTTAGGTCATCTTCACCAGCCACTTTCAGGGACCGAGTTTCTAGTATACTTTTTGGCAGAAAGGCGCAATTAGTTTATAAATAACACATAAGTTAACGTCAGTCAGTCAGAAGAGCTTTGAGTACATGTACTATGTTAATGCATATTAGTTATATGCACGTTTAGAGGCGCTCTATTTTTAATTTTTTTCTTTACCTAAAGAAGTCTTATATGCGACTTCGAAGCGGTAGCTAATTTGCATATTTCTTAGGTTTCAGTTAGCTTTCGTTTAACACTTTCGCAAGCTTCCTTCGTCAAGTATACTATACAGATCTAAGTCATTTATGAGCTCAACCTTGTTAATACTTAAATGTGGTAGTAAAACATGGATGTGCTTCCAGATGTAACGGGGTACATAGCCTCAAGTGCAGCCCTAGTTACATGAAGTGTGACACGTCACGCTTCGGGATAATTGGTACATAGTACCAGGGTCGTGCTTGTATCTAGGTGACTCATAGTTTGTACATTTAACTCAAGCTTAGCCTACCTATAAATATACTCAGCTTACAGCTTACCTTAAATTTGTCACTTCGCTCCCTTAGGCAAAAAGGGGCCCGGGGACTGCCGCTCACTGAGAGTTTGTACTCGGAGGCCAACTTCCTCTAGCGCAAGGTGCTGTGTGTTCCCATCACACTTGGTAGCACTTGTAGTCAATCCACGCCAACGCGGGTAGACTGCCTGAACCTGTCTGAAGTTGGTCGCCATGGATAGGAACGACTTCTCCCATCTGAACGACTCACAGTTAGAGTCGGTTCGAAGGATGGCTGGCATCTTCGGGATGGAGGTCCTGCAGAGCCTGGTGGCGTCAGCACCGACCGAGCAGCTCGAGCGAGTCAATGCGTTTGACGCTGACGATCACGGGATCATCGCACATGTGTGGGAAAACTTGCATGCTCCGGCGGCGGAAACAAACCCGCCCCACCCGAAGCCAATACGGCAGAAAGTTAAGCCGTATCAAGGGAAGGGAAGTGAGAACCTTCACTTCTGGGTTCGAGAGGTAGACCTCGCGCTGGACGCGACTCTGATCTCGACCGAGCAACTCCGTGTTGCTTTTGCACTCTCCAACCTTAGCGGTCGTGCTCGGAGTTGGCTGTACAAGCGGGAGGCGAAATACCCTGAATGTTTCATATTCTGGGCTCAGCTGTGCGAACAGCACCGAGCCGCGTTACTCCCAGCGAACAATGAGTACCGGCAGCGTTCGCAATCCGTCTCATGCAAGCAAGGAAGGCGCGCCGCACGGGTATGCCCAAGAGATGCGGGAGCTCACGGCGTCCCTAGTGGGAAGCCCACTCAACGAACACGTCAAGATGACTGTGTTCATGGACGGCCTTCGAGTGGGCCCGGCGCGCACTCAGCTTTTTCGGGTGCAGTCAAGCACCCTCGAAGAGGCGATTCAAGTGGCCCTTCAGGAAGAATACATCCATCGCCAGGCGCCCAAGCCGGCCTCAGCATGGCCAGGGAATTCTGTGTCGAATCCAGGTCGAGCAAATCCCACCGGACCCATTCCCAAGGAGCTCGTGTCCGCCGAGCAGCGAGATATTCGCTGCTTCGGCTGCGGGAATCGGGGACACTTCAAGCGCGACTCCCCGCGGATAGACACCACAGGCGGACTTTCCCCAAGTCCGTCCTCAAGGGTCGCTGGTAGAAACCAGGAATTTCGGGGATAGGGGAACACCGGAGACCAGTAGGGGCGGGACACCCTACTAGGGAAGAGCTAAGGATCGTGAGGGGTGCACGGGTGGCGCGTACCACGTAGTCCTAGCCCCTAAGAGTCTTCGCACTCTCGAATCGGCGAAGGGCGGTGGCGGACTAATCGTAGTACACGGATGTGTACAGGATACGATCACCCCTTTAGAATCTTAATCGATTCTGGGGCGTCGAAGAATTTTGCGCGCCGCCAGACGGTTGCTCGTAATCGCAACAAGTTGTCTGATGCTATGAGAGAAATCAAAGGCAACGAGACGGTGTCAGTGCGACTGGCCGACGGGAAGGTCGTCACTGTTCCCAACATCAAAGTAGATCTGGCCGTCAAGTTTGAAGACTTTGACATCCTCGAGCAGCTTACTGTTCTCGACATGGATCTCTACAATATGATCATGGGCATGCCCAGGCTCGAGTAGCACGAGCCCTGGGTTGACTGGCAGGGCAAGGCAATCGGTGCCGCGGAGTCCGACAGAGCATTGGTGAGTCATGTTCCCACCTCTGTCAGGACCCGGGGCGCCCGTAAGGGCTGCCGGGGTACCCAAGCATTCGGCAGATGCTTGGGAGTCGTCGACGTATATGACGACTCCGAGGACGCTTCGATGGTGGCGGCGGCTCTAGGAGGCGCTGACCAAGTGGGTAACTTAGGTCCACAAGCGGGTAACACAGCTCCGCAGACAGTGGCAGCAGCCACGAGCGCTGGTAATAGCTTGTCCAAGGTGGTTAACAGAGTTCCACACGCGTTCGTCCAGACCTCAACTGAAGAGGGAATTATCGGATACGCTTCTTGTGTGTGCTAACACAGTACCACACGAGGTCGTCCAGACCATAACGGAAGAGGAAGGCGCTGGATGCGCTTCTTGTGCGGGTAACATAGAGCCACACAAGGCCTCGAGTGCCTCGAATGTCAGCACCACGACATCCCCTGACGTGGATAACGAAGGTACACGTCACGGACGCCGTCGACGACGTCGCTTCAAGCGACTCGTAGTCCAGGGACCATACTCTTCCGACACGACCGGTGGGAGAGCTTGATCAACATACCGTCTCGGATGGCGAGACCGGATTACCGTCAAG